AGTGAGAGCTGGAGGGGCACTGATGACTCTGTTCTCACTGAGGAAAAATAACTAAACATCAGCAAAGGAGATCCTAAGAAGCCGAGAGGCAAAATGTTATCAAATGTATTCTTTGTGCAAACTTGTCAGGTGGAGCACAAGAAGCAGCACCCAGAGTCAACTTCTCAGTTTTCTAAGAAGTGCTCAGAGAGGGGGAACACCACATTTGCTAAAGAGAAGGGAAAATCTGAAGATATGGCAAAGGGAAATGACGTTCAAGGATCCCAGTGCACCCAAGGGGCCTCCTTCAGCCTTTTATTCTGAGTGCCACCCCCAAATCAAAGGAGACCACCCTTGCCTATCCATTGGTATTGCTTCAAAGAAACTGGGAGAGATGCGGAACAACACTGCCGATGATGACAAGCAGCATTCTGAGAAGAGGAAGGCAAGGCTGAAGGAATACTACAGAAAGGATTTTGTGCATACCAAGCTAAAGGAAAGCCTGAGGTAGCAAAACAGAAGTCATCAAGGCTGGAAAAAAAAGAGGAGGAGGAAGATGAGGAAGACAAAGAAGATGAAAAGGAGGCAAGGGAGGATAAAGCAGATGAAGATGAGGATGATGAGTAAGTTGGTTCTAGTGCAGTTTTTTCTTGTCTACAAAGACTTTAATCCCCATATACAACTTACTCTTTTTTAAAGAAAAAAATTGAAATGTGAAAAAAATGATAGTATTCCCCAAACAAGTAAATGGTGCACTAAAATTATCTTCCCCCAACAACTCACAGAAGTCTTAAAGTTTTGGAATTATTTGAACTCCCCATCAAATATCTTCAAAACTGGTAAAGACAATCTGAATAAGAGAAATCATCACCAGATTAGAGCTGATGGATCTATTAGAAAAGCAACTAACATGTACTGAACAGCTACTACTGAGCATGGGGACACTATTCTAAGCTCTTGTGCAAATATTAGGTCACTTAACTTTCACAACTGTGAGATGAGTCTCATTCCCAGACAAGGAAAGAGGCAGAGAGGGCTTAAGTAACTATCTCAAGGCTTAAAACATCACTGCCAGAAACTACCACATCATGAACACAACCCAGGGGGAGGCTCAGAATAGACAGCAGAGGCCCTACCTTTCTGCAGAAGGTGGAGCTAGACAGTGAGGTGTGTGTGCCTAAGGCAGATGTAGGGACAAGAGGAAGGGAAAGGGATGGAAATCAGAAACTCAAGGAAGAGGCAAGTGACATCAAGGCTGGAGCTAGGACTTGGCAGAGAAAAGCCAAAACCTGATTAAAGTTCTGGGGCACAAAATGTCCAAACATATTCATAAGCAGAGAAATGCGCACAGCTAGTAGATGCTAATAGAAAGTTTTCTTCCTTTCTTTCCTTTTTATTCTTTTATAAAGTGAAAAACAGCCTGTCCTCCACTCAAGGTTCATTTACTGCCATAAGCCTCTTTGCTGGCCTAAGTATCCGGTGAAGATAAACTGGGAATCAAAACCAAGTCAGAAGTATGTAACAGGCGAACACATAAAACAAATTAACTTACTTAAATATTAACCTGCAGCCTAAGGGATTTTTTAAAAATTTAAAACAAACAAAAGAAATGATAAGCAGAGTAGATACTCCTGGAAAATACACATACACAAAC